CAAGACATCCATCCATAAAAACCTCACTACCACCAATCATCTTCTTCATGGAAATCCTGGCTCCTTTCTGTACTCGTCCCTATTCTTATTGCCCTACTGATTATATTCCTCTTGTGCCTGTTTGGTCCTTGTTTGCTTAACATTCTTGCCAGGTTTGTCTCCTCTAGGGTCAGAGCCATCAACTTCCAGATGACTACTCAGGCTATATACCAACCTCCGACCAAGTCCAAGGTCTCTAGCCCACTGAACCTGGCATCAGCTGGGTTCTGAAGTCTGACCCCTTGAACAGAACCCAGCAAGGCAGGGACAGCTCTATGCCCCTTGCCAACAGGAAGCAGTTTCAGAAGCTGAAACCTTTGTCCTTTACCCCAAAAGAATTTGGGTCCCATTTGTTTGAGGGGGGAGAATGATGGGGTATGGGCCCAAGAAGGCCCCCATAAAAACTCCTTCCTTGAACTTTACTTGAACCCTTTAACCTGATCAAGGAATTCTAGCAGTGTCCTGAGGTTATTCTTATACCTATTAACTGGCTTTTTCCTCATCACCTACGTCCAATCTCCCAATTCTTTATTAAACCAATTAAAGTCTAGCCCTCTACTGTTAAGTGACTTGCCCAGGGTCACACAGCTAGTAGGTGTCAAGTATCTGGTCTGAGACCAGATTTGAACTCAGGTTCTTCTGACGCCAGGGCCAGTGCTCTATCCATTGTGCCACATAGCTAACCCCAGGACCTTATTTTTTATAAGGTTTGATTCCAGATTTGATACCTGAACACTCTAAAGGGATATAATTAGTACAGAATCCCCAACCCTAACCCTAACCAAAACCCTAACCCTAACCCTTCTAACCTGAACCCTAATTGTGCTCTTACCCTAACCCTAATTCCGTTCTAACCCTAATCCTTTCTAACCATAACCCTCATTGCATTCAGATTCCTTTCTAATCTTTCAAACCCTAACCCTAATGCTTTCTAATTCCTTTTTAACCCTAACCCTTTTTAACCATTTCTTTCTTGTCTAACCCTAATTGTGCTTTCTGACCCTAACCCTTTCCTCTCCTTTCTAACACTAACCTTAACAATCACCCTAATTCCTTTCTAACCTTAATTCCTTTCCTTTCTAACCCTAATTGCTCTCTAACACTAACCCTAACTCTAAACCTAACCCTAATCCTTTCTAACCCTAACCCTAATTGCACTCTAACCCTAACACTTTCTAACCCTAATTGCGATTAAACCCTAACCCTAACCCTAACAATAACCCTAATTCCCTTCTAAACCTAATTGCCCTCTAATTCCTTTCTAATCTTAATCCTAACACTAATCCTTTCTAACCCTAACCCTAATTCCTTTTAACCCTAACCCTAACACTAACCCTAACCCTAATTCCTTTCTAACCCTAACCCTAATTATGATTCCTTTCTAATTCTTTCCTTTCTAACCCTAACCCTTTCTAACCCTTTCTAACCCTAATTCCTTTCCTAACCCTAACCCTAACCCTAATCCTAATGATTCCTTTCTAACCCTAACCCTAACCCTTTCAAACCCATTCTGAACCTAATTCCTGTCTAATGATTCCTTTCTAATACTTTCTAACCCTAACCCTAATCCTTTCTAACCTTAATGATTCCTTTCTAACCATAAATCTAACCCTAACCCTAACCCTAATTGTGCTCTAATTCCTTTCTAACCCTAACCCTAATTTCTATGATTCCTTTTTAACCCTAATTCCTTTCTAACCCCAATTCCTTTCTGACCCTAACCCTAATGATTCCTTTATGATTCCTTTCTAACCCTAATGATTCCTTTCTAACCCTACTTATGAATGCTTTCTAACCCTAACCCTAACCCTAATCCTAATTCCTTTTCTAACCCTAACCCTAATCCTTTTATTATTCCTTTCTAACCCTAATCCTAATTCCTTTCTAACCCTATGATTCCTTCCCAACCCTTTATGATTCCTTTCTAACCCTAACCCTAACCCTAACCCTTTCCTTTCTAATGATTCGTTTCTATAATTCCTTTCTAACCCTAACCCTTTCTAACCCTTCCTTTCCTTTATGATTCCTTTCTAACCCTGATGATTCCTTTCTAACCCTTTCTAACCCTAATTATCATTCCTTTCTAACCCTTTATTATTTATCAACCAGTGGGTTGATAGACCTTGTTTCATGAGCCAAAAATGATACATCTGCTAGATCTGGTATTTCAGCAGGGGTTCCCAGGTTGGTGAAGCATGGGGGCACCTCCACTGACTAAGTGGTCATAATATGGTCATAAGATGGTCACTTGCTGATGTTGGACAAGAGAGAATGGTCTAGAGGTACAAAATAAGTTGGGGGACTTTCCATGTCAGTAAATCGCCTCTGTCTTGTTAGGTTTGGTGACCATAATAAGGAAAAACAAGGGTAGAGGGACTCTGGTAAGCTTCCTATGATTAAGCAGGTGAATTTACAATCTGTAGCTCATAGCGATAGGGCCCAATATATAGAACTTATAACCACTACCCCTATGGAATCATAGCAAATGGATTAGTACTGATTGGAATACAGTAGGGGTCTAAATGAATTATTTCTCACACCCCTCCCCAGCTTTCTCCTGTTCTAATTAAAACACTAACCCAGAAACAAAATATGTCACCGAGCAACTCAGAAATAGTCATTCAGAAAAGTATGAAATACCTACTATGTACCAGGCACTGTACTAGGAAGCAGAGTAAAAGACAAAATAGTGGTAAACATCCTTGCTCTTAAGGAGCTCATATTCTATTGGTAGGAGCAGAGGTTGGGGATAGAGTTGGAGACAGTAATGGTGACAATATGAACATGCATTTATAGACAAAATAATACAAAGTAAATACAGAGCAATTTCTGGGTTGAGGTGTGCCCAGTGTGCAATAATACTAGCAACTGGGAGAATCCTGATAGATTTCATGTAGTCATTGGTACTTGAGAGAAACCTTGATTCTAAGCCAGGGATTCTAAGAAGTGGAACTGTGAAAAGAAAGCATTCCAGGCATGGGGGATGAAGGCATGGAGATGGGAGGTGGAATGTCATGTATGGGGGTCAGTTTGGTTGGAGTGTGTGAAGAAGAGGAACATGCAATAAGTCTGGGAAGGTAGACTGGAGGTAGATGGTGAGCAAAGGGGGAGCTTCATGGACTGTGTGGTATTTGAATTGGAACTTCAAGAATAGGTCACAGGCAGAGATTGGGTAGGTGGGGACATTACCAAATTAAGAGGGATGAGAATGAGTATTTGTTAAGTTTCTAATACACACACACACACACACACACACACACACACACACACACACACAGAGCCAGGCACTGTGCTAAGCTCTTTACAAATATCTCATTTGAGTCTCCTGAAAACCCTGAGAAGTAGGTATTATTATTATTACCATTTCTATCTTACAGTTGAAGAAACTGAGATAGATAGAGACTAAGTGACTTACTCAGGGTCACACAGCTAAGTCTTTGAGGCTAGAATTGAACTCAGGTCTTCCTGACATGAGGCTCATCACTTTATCCATTACATTACTTAGCTACCTCCTAGGAAACAAAGTTAGCCATTGGAACTGGAGAACAAAATAATAGAATGTGGTACTGAGTTCTATAGGAGTTCAGAGAAGGGATGGAGAATTCAGGGCAGGCTTTAAAAAATAAGTGTGCTTGAACTCAACTTTGCAGGATAGGTTAGGTTGGACAGGCTCAGATGAAGATAAAAGAAGGCAATTTTAAACAGAGTCTTGGAAGTATCAAGGCAGAAATGATTTCCCAGAAGAGTATTATACATATACATATACATATACATATACATATACATATACATATACATATACATATACATATACATATACATATACATATACATATACATATACATATACATACACATACACATACACATACACATACACATACACATACACATACACATACACATACACATACACATACACATATACATATACATGTACATATACATATACATATACATATACATATACATATATTATATGTATGGGGGATTAAGTATAAACAATGGAGCCACTCACTTAAGGGAGGAGATAAGAGAGGCATTTATTTTTTTTAGTTTGGGCTAGTCTCTTTAGAGGGTGGAGACACTTTATTGTCTGAGGTATAAAAGGCTTAACTCATAGAAAGTTGGTGCTGGATGTTTTCCTTTAATAAGGAAGGTTTTTCTGCCCTGTCATGGCTGACTACTATAGTGAATGCAGAAACAGAGGGAAGTAGCCATTTTGTTTGACTTACTACCTTTTATTGCATTTAATGGTTCATAAGTGCATTATTTCAGTTTTTGGCCTTATAGCATTTTGACCCTAAGTCTAAATTATTGGACTGGCATGAAGGGGACTGAGTAAGGGAAATCTGGTCCTTTATAAAGGATTTTGGATTTTAGGATTGCCTATCTATAATCTGTGACAAAAGCACCCTGATGCAATTTGCAGGGAATATATATTTTTTTTAATTGAGAAGAGAATACAGAGAATATGCCCAAGAGTAGCTTGATAAGACAAAGCTAGATCTTTGACAAGGTGTGAATTCTCCTGGCCCTGGTTATTCCCAGTATCCCTTTAACACTTTGTTAAGGCTGATCAATGATTCCTATCCAGATCATACATCAGGGCTATAATGATGTGACTTTTAAAATAAAGGATTTGAAGGCTGAAAGCAACTCAAAGAGGAGGGAAACACAGAGTTCGTCTTGGTTACTTAGAGAAGAAAGATGCTCATCTAACATTGCATTTGGAGTTAGAGCACCAGGATTTGAATCCTGATTTTGCCTTTTACTACCTCTATGATCTTGGGCTAGGCACTAAGCCTCTTTCATTTTCAGTTTTCAAATCTTCGAAATGAGAAGGAATTTATTGGCCTCTGAGGGCCCTTGCAACTATAAATCTATAATTTAAATCTATGGAGTGAATGAGCAGAACTAGGGCTCAGGAGAGAGAAGTGAGGTAAGGGGCAACATCTCACCAGAGTCCTTCATAGTTAAAGAGTTTCCTGCGTTCTTCCTGGGACAATAACTTCAAGGCAAAGGGAGGTGGAAAGTCTGACTTCAGTAGGTATTCCTGGGATTCCTGGAGATTTCTGAAGACTTGCAAGAGAAGACCACAAACCAACAAAAGGGAAAACACCAGTAACCATTTGAGATGAATCCATTGCCTCAGGGATCTCCAGCTGTTGAAAGAAAAGAAACAACATTTTACCTTACAGATTTGTCTACTCCTCACAGAACTTGGACTAGGTGTCTAATTGCACAGGGTCTGAGCAATGTAAATGACAAAGACTTAAGTCCTGTCCTGAGGGAATTCACAATCTAAGTCAGACACATGAACGAAAATATTGGGCACAGGAAAAATAACAGAACATCACCTTCCATCTGTCTGGAAAATGTGCACCCAGGACCTGGGGAGTGAGAAGCCCTGGGTATAACTGAAGTTGGGGACATTAGCACTAGCTCTAAGCCTTTTAATCCTTTACACCAATGGTGCCAAACTCAAATAGAAATGGGGCCACTAAACTATACATAAGGATCCCTATGAGTCATATATTGGCTTAGTTTTAAAATGTAATATTATTTATTTTTATTGTATTGCTTTATATTTCGCTAAATATTTCCCAATTACATTTTTATTTTTCTTGATTAATCAATCACACTAACAGCAAAAGATAGCAAAAATCGTATGGGTTATCTTTTTTTAAAAAAATTTAACTATTTTTTTAATTTATGGAATTAAGCATTTCCATAACACAGTACAATAAAAAAAAGGTGATTGCACATGAAACTGCAAATCTACCATGCAAAATTTGCTATTCCTTTCAAATATTCAACAAAATTATCATGTAAATTTCTTTTTTTCCCCCTTTTTTTTCTTCCTCCCCCACTCTAGAGATGGCTACCATTAGATATGTTGAGGTTTAGAGTTGGGAGAGCTGGTTGAGGTGTGAAAGAATTCACTTAGACCTTCTCTGTAGCCACTGGGAGCTTTATTTCATGAAAGCTTCATGGGCCTGAGGTTAGCAAGGAGCTATAGGAAAAGACCCAGGCTTATATAGACAGAAAGCTATACAGCCTGTAGGATAATGATATATTTTTAGAGTTTCATATGGGAGTTGGAGATTAGGATAAGAGCAAACAAGATGAAGAAGATGGTTGACACAGGATGAGGAAGATAAATGACAGGATAAGGAACACAAAATAAAGGAAACAAAGGCAATTCTTTTGGTGCAAGTTGTATAGCATTTCAAGATAAGGGGAAAAGGACTTCAGAAGTTCTCAAGTTCCAGGATCTCAAGGTACAGGATGGGCTACAGAATGAGCCTCAAACTCCCTCAGGGTTGGCACAGTAGATAGAGCTCTGGCCTTGGAGTCAGGAGAACCTGAGTTCAAATCCAGCCTCAGATAGTTGACACTTACTAGCTGTGTGACCCTGGGCAAGTCACTTAACCCCAAATGCCTCATCAAAAAGGCAAAAAACAAAAAACCTCCCTCAGGGGACCTGGTAAAGTAACCCTTAATATTACTTTTAATCCTAGGGTACTCTTTGTCCCTACATCAGAACAAATAGTACATATATGTATATATGTGTGTGTGTGTGTGTGTGTGTGTGTTGTATGTAAAATTATTCTGTACATACTTCTATGTATCAGTTCTTCCTCTGGATGCAGATAGAATCTTTCTTCATATAGCCTTTATAGTTAATTTGGGTATTTATAACAGACAAAATAACTTATTCACTCAAAGTCATTCTTCAAACAATATTGCTGTTACTGTATACAATGTTCTCTTGGTTCTGCTCATTTCATCCCAATTACATTTTAATCTGGTTGGGTAGCCTTTGCAAGTGTTGGGGGCTGCAGGCCCATATTTGACATCTCTGCTTCACACCTTAAAGCTGAATAGACATTTTCAAGGGATCTTTATATCTCCAAATCTTTCACCCCTTGAAGCTGATAAAGATTTGGTGGATTCAGAATTGCCTGAATGTGTGGATCCATTGAGATCATTAGAGCAATGATGTCAGCTTGGACAGAGGAAGCTCTAGTAGAGTACCCTAAGGATCTTGTCCTTGGCCTTGTGTTGTGTTAAACACATTTATCAATGACTTGGATGAAGGAATAGGCAGCATGTTTATCAAATGTGCAGCTGGAAGTCAGAGCGAACATGCAATGATCCAGAAAGGCTGCAATGGGCTCAAATGGGTAAAATCCTATTAGATGGGATTTGACAGAGGCAAATGTAAATATTTGGTTCAATAAATTGGCTTCACAACACACAGTAAAGGGGGAAAAGAGTACAGTTCATCTGAAAGAGATATGGGGATTTTCAAGGGCTATAGGTTCAACTAGGAGCCAATACTTTGCTTTAACATGACAGCCATATAAGCTCATGTGATTTTAGGTTGCATGAACACTGTGTCAAAATCAAGAAGTGAGAGTCCATCTGCATACTGCTCAGACCACATCTGGAGTATGGTGCTTAGACCTGGATGCCATATATTAGGAAGGATATTGGATGGTGAAAGGCTTGAAACACATTGAATGAACTGGGAGTACTTAACCTAGAGAAGAAAAGGCTTGGGGAGAACAAGAGAGCTGTCTTCAAATACTCCAAAGAACTGTTCTGTGGGCAAGGGATTAAGCTTTTTCTGTTGGCCCCAAAGGCAGGACTAAGAGCAATGGGTAACTGTTGCAGAGAGGCAGATTTAGACCTATATAAGGAAAACGTTTCTAACATTCAGAGCAAGCCTATGGGTTCCCCAGGAGATGGTAGGTCCCTGGAGGTCTCCAAGCAGAGGTTAGAAGATCCCTAGTTGGAGAGGTGGAAGAAGGAATTCTTGCTCAAGTAATGAGTTTGGAAGAGATCAAATAAGATTAGATTTGAGATTACATGACATTGCAAAACCTTAAAGCATTAAGTAAATATCTTCATCATCATCATTATATTATTATATAGCCCTGAATATTTTTCCATTTCAGATTCTGTGACAGAACTTGACCAATTTCAAAGAAAATCTCTACAACCTAGGCAAAATCTCCCATTCAATCTTCTTGAGAGTCCTGGAGCAGGCAAACAGGGAAGAGATAAATTATCATGGTTATACAGATGAGGAAACAGGTTCAGAGAGTCATAAAGCTAGAAAAAGCCTTTAAAGTCATTTAGTCTAACGACCTCACTTCACAGAGAAGGAAACTCATCTAGAACTAGGAACTGCGTCCCGGGGCTGAGCACGCAGCTCAAGTCTCCTGAATCCCACATACCAGGACTCTTGTCCTTGTCCCGTACTTTCCAGAGAGCGGAGCTGATGCCCATACCTTCTTCCTCTCTCCTCAGTCATGGACAAAGAAATTGGTTAGAGAGGAGGAAAAGACTGTTGTGAGGAGTGAGCCCATTGACCGAGGGGATATTTCCTTTTCTAGACATGAAGCGGAGGACCCTCTAAGCCAGAGGGCTCTCAGACGCCACAAAAAAGGGGGCGGGTGGTGGTAGGGGCTTTGTTTCGTCCTACCAGACAGCAGTTTCCTTCTCAGCTTTCTGAACTGGGCAGACGCGGGCGCAAAGGGTCTGACACGGCAAGGAATGAGTAGACTCTAGGTGAAATTCCCAAATTTAAAGTTCTCAAAAGAGCATTCCAAGTCGGACATACGAATAGACTTGAGCGCCCAGAACTGAACGTTACAGACAAAAGGAGAACTTCGAAACGGGCTGGAGCATTCCAGAAGGATAGTTCTTTGAGGAGTTGGGAGAGAAGACGGTAAGACTGTCTGTTAGCTTGGGCAAAAACTGGAGAGGTGCTGGATTCTCTTCCCTCCAGGTCTTATTTTAGTTCCCCGCGGTTCCAAAAGCGCAGCATCTGTCTACTCCAGAAAAAAACTGACTGGAGCTAATGTTGACCCATCATCACCCACATCCCATTCACCAACGTAGTGGAGGGGCGTAATGGGAGAAGAACAGGGAATAGGGCAGGGCACCTCGGGGCTAGTCCTTACTACTTACTGGTGGTTTTGATCTTCGTCAAGCCATTTCCCCTCGCTTGGCTCGGTTCCTCCTCTAGAAAATGAAGGCTTGGACTAGTTGATTTCTAGAGATACCTTATAGTTGTAAATCCCGAGATTCTTAGAAAAGACAGTCACTTCTTCTGTAGCCCACGCTTCCTCCCCCAATTTTCTCCTATCCTCCTCCAAGCCCCACGCCGCCCACATACCCACTCACCCACAAAAATCCATCAGGAATCCGACAGACAAAATGAATCTGAGCCACCTCGGATCCAACAGTGCTAGGTCCTCACTCACTTAGTTCAGGCTCCGCCCTCCTAAATCCCTCCCCTAAAAACACCTGCACCATTGGGCTCCGTCTATTCTCCCTATCAATTTTCCTCCTGCCTCCCTCCCCTATTCCGGAAAGAGCGCCTTCCTGCTCCCCTAGCTAGGACGCAGACTCCTCCTGGGATGCTGGCAAGGTCCGAGGATGAAGGGAGAAGTAGGAGGAGGAAACCCGCGGACGGATTGGTCTCTGTCCTAGGACAGCAGGAGGTTGTGGGAGACCTTAAGGCGATATCTGCTGCCCTCCCTGCTGTTCCCGATTGGTGCCCAGTGCTGCCTGACTACCCTGGGCAGCTCCGTCCAGGGGCCAGGAAGGTAGACTGACAGATGGTTCCTGATGGGTTCTTTCTCTTTGAATATAAATGAGCCGGGCATGGCTGCCTTGGGAAGCCTGAAACCTGGCCGCTGCCACTCCTCTGCTCCCTCAGCCTGTGGCTCCTGCCCAGCTTTTTCTCTGCCCCTCTCTGACTGGACTTTACCTCAGACTAGTCAAGGGGATGAAACAAACTGGAGTGATGCCTCAGGCAGCCGGATGAGAAGAGTACAGGGCTGAGAGTCAGGAGATTCCGAGTCCAGCTCCAGCTCTGCTCCCTTCTCTAATGGGCCATGTGGCCTTTTGCAAGTTGTCTGACCAGTTTCCTGATGGGCAAAACCTGCCTACCTCACTCAGGTGGCTGTTGGGGTGATATAGGAGGCAAAAGTGCTTTGCAAAGTTAAAATCTGGTAGCAGTACAAGGGGCCTCCATCATGTGGCCCTGCTTTTTCAGAGTATGGAGGCTATAGAAGATAATGTTGATCATATTTTCTGGAGTCCTGACCATTAAACCTCACCCAGATTTTCCCTTGGGGAATTTCTAAACATTAGCTCATCTAAGTCTCTATGAATGTGGGTCAGAGTTCCCAGATCCAGCACTCCATTTAACAGTTTGGTACACAGGAAGTGTAGAAGACACATAAACTACTCAAAGTAGCCCAGTAACAATTCATACAAATTCTGCTACCTTTATGGTGAGTCTTGCCTTTTCCCAGGGTCCTCTAATACTCCAGATTCATAGTACAACTCTTGTTTGGGCTCCCTTTCTAAAGAGAAACAAGATTGAAGTGGACAAACAGGCAATGCCCTGACATTCTAGGGGTATTTGGATTCCCCTTAAGAAGGTAAATACATTTGGGATTTTGGGACATCTTCCTCAAACCCCCAGTGGATGTGGCAAGTCATGATAATAGTGGAGAGCAAAATTCAGGTCTATGCTTCATCATATTGTGGCTTAGACTCAATCTCTTGCTGTTCAGTAAGTTTCAGGGGCCATGTGCATGATCTTTACTCGGAAGGAACTAGGGAACCACTGAAGATTTTTGAGCAAAGGAGTGATGTGACAAGATCTAGGCATGAAAAAAAATGTATATATGTATGTGTGTGTGTCTGTAATGGATTGGAGGGGGCAGAGAGTGGAGGAAACAATACCTATAAAGAGGTTACTCGAGACAGAATTATTGGTGACAACAGGGCTCGTTTTAAAATTGAAGCAGTGATGACAGAGAGGAGGGGTTGATTTGGAGATATTATTGAAAAGGAATCTATAGAACCTGGGAATTAATTGAATACAAGAAAGGAGAAAGAAAGAAGAGGCAAAAAACAACTCCAAGATTATGTATACTCAAGTTCACATTAGAATTATCATTGATTTCTCATTCTCCTTTTTCTTTATAACCAATAAGTTGCCAAATCTTATTCATTCTGCCTCCATAATGTCTTTCATATCCCTACCCTTCTAACTATAATGCATAAAAAAACCCTAAGAGACAGAGTTTCTGGGTAATTAATAATCAATTTATTGTGTATGTATAGTTGAATACAAAATATATACAAAATACTTTATTGGGAAATTAGCAATTAGGATAGGTTTCCTGCAGGAAGTACTTGACATAAATTTTTGGACATCAACAATGTGGGAATTTGCCTTGCTCAATCATGCATATTTTTTTCAAAGGTTTTGTTTTAAAATGGAAGAGGGTAGCCGAATGCATTAGAAAATAGAATATGTTGCTTATGAGAAACACCTTTGAAAGATAAAGATTTACATAGAATTAAATGAATGGTGGGAGCAAAATCTATCACGAATTCCAAAAAGCAGGAGTAGCAATCATAATTTCAGATAAGGCTACAGAAAATATAGACATCATTAAAAAAGAGATAAGCAGGAAAATAACATTACACTTAAAAGCACCGTAGATAAGAAATCAAAATCAATACCGAATATATTCCTACCAAATACCTTAGCATCTAAATACTTAAAAAGAAAAAGTTAATTGAATTTGGAGAAAGACATAAAAAGTAAAACTACAATAGTGGATGACCTCAAGATACCTTTTTCAAACCTATACAAATCTAATGAATAGATAAACAAGAAAGTTAAGGACCACAATAGGACTTTAGAAGAATGAAAGGTGATAGATCTTGGGCAATTACAGAATGAGAATAGAAAGAAATTTACATACTTTTAAGCATTACATGGCACCTTTACAAAAATTGATAATGAATTTAGGCATAAAGACCTCATTTAAAAATGTAGGAAAGCAGAAATACTAAACACATCATTTACTGATAGTAATAGCATAAAAATTCAATAAAAGGCCTTTGAGGAAAGAATAAAAAAGTAACTGGAAACTAAATACATAATTCTAAAGAAATGTTGGGTGAAAAAACAAATTATTGAAATAATAGAAAATTTTATCAAAGAAAATGACAAGAATGAGACAATACAATAAAACATATGGGAGGCAGCTGAAACACTTTTTTAGGGGAAATTTTGTATCTCTAAACACTTACATCAATAAAAGAAAAAGAACAAATCAACAGATTTGGTACAACTAAAAACACTTAAATAATTACAAACCAAACACCCTTAAATAAGCCAGAAAGAAATTATAAAAATTAAATAAATGATTAATAAAACTGAAAGTAATACAACCATTGAACTAATGAATTTGAGATCTGATTTTTTTTGAAAAACTAATAAATAGTCTGATTTTTAAAAGAGAGAAATCAAACTTCCTATCAAAATTGAAAAAAGGAGAATTCACAACAATTGAAGAGGAAATAAAGGAAATTATCAGAAACTATTTTAACTAATAACATGCTAACAAAACCGATAATTTAGAGGAAATGAATGAATACTTACAAAAATATAAAATATTCAGGTTAATAAATGAGGAAATAGACTATTCATATAACCTAATACCAGAAAAAAAATTGAGCAAGCTATAAATGAACTCACCAAGAACAAAACTATAGGACCACATGGATGCACAAGTGAATTCTAGCAAACATTCAAAGGACAGTTAATTATAATATTTTACAAACTGTTTGCAATAAGAGGAAAAGAAGGCAACCTTTCAACCTCCTTCTATAATATAAATAAGATTTTGATACTTAAACCAGTGAGAGAAAAAGTAGAGAAATAAAATTATAGACCAATATCCTTTAAAAAAGATGCAAAATTTTTGAATAAAATGTTCACAAATAAGTTATAATAATGTATCAGAAAGATTGCACACTATTACCAGGTTGGATTTATATCTAGAATTCTTAGTTCAACATGAGGAAGATTACAGATAGAATAAATCATGCTAATAACATAACATTAAAACCACATGATTCTATCAGTAAACGCTGAAAATACTTTTGATAATATTTATCACCCACTTGCATTTTAAAAAACACTAGAAATATATAAATAGAACTTTCTTTTATATAGTAAATAACATTTTTCTAATACCAAGAGCAAACATTATATGCAGTAGGGAAATGCTAGAGGCCTTTGCAACAAGATCAAAGGTAAAATAAGAACTTCCATTATCACCAGTATGATTTAATATAGTGCTAGAATTGTTAGTTGTAGCAATAAGAAAAGAAAGAGACATCAGGGGAATGAGCATTGGTAGAGAGGAAGAAAAATTATTGCTTTTTGCAGATGATATGATTTACTTAGAAAATCCTAGAGTGTTAAATATAAATTAATTGAAATAGTTAATAAATTTATCAAAGTTTCAGGATATAAAATCAACCCACATAAATCATCAGCATTCATTTATATTACT